AGTCCCTTTTCCTCCATCCTCCTCTCGGTATCTTGGGCACACACGCACATGCACCCGGCATGAGTTTAAGCCACCGGGTCCAGGACTCAAACTGCGGTCAACTACATGGGAGCCCAGTGACATGGCCATTATGCTAACTGCTGGTCCCAAGGCCTTTCCTTTCAAGAAGTTTGATATCTGGAAAGAGAGCAAATGTGTGTATGTAACTATTACTATTATAACATTTTGTATACAAATATAAATAAAAGATGTATAACACCATGTTATAGAACTTTAAAAAAAATTTCTGGCTAAAGTTAAAAGACTCATAGAGAATAGAGCATGTGAACTGGCTTTTGAGTAATGACAAGAGTTTTGACAGGTGAAAAATCAGAGAAGGGCACATCCAGGGTAGAGTATAAATGGAAGTGCAGAAATGGTAAAGAATAAGGTAATTTGGAAAATGGCAAGTACCATAATTCACTTTGGATGGAGTGTAGTCAATTTGCACTGAGGGTCTGGATAGAAACTCAAGTCTTTTAATTCCCAGGAACAGTGCTGGTGGCAGTGCTTGCTCAGCTGTTGCCTTTTTTCTCACCGCAAGGTCACAACAGTCCCAATATTCGAAAATAGAAGGATATCCACTTCCAGAGTTCCTTCTGCATTGTAACAAGCTCTTTTGAGTTCCAGGTACAGTTCTCGAAAATCTGGAAATCTGGAGTCCACATTGGCTACATTGAAAGATAACTGCTCCGACTATTGTAGAACACTGTAGTGAAACCTCTTCAACCTCCAATCTTGGACATTTCATGCTTTGTCACAGAATTTAAAGCTCTGAGTTCCAGTTGTTTTTTTCCTTCATTCTCCCAAGGAAAACATCTTATCACCACAGTCTTAAGATTCTTTTGAGGTACAACCAGACTTAATTACAAAACAGCTAAAATACCAACACATTTTTCTCCAAAACAGTCATTTCTCTGGAAGTGAGAGCATTTGTCTCTGCCCTTTAGGTAAAGAGATTAGTCAATTGATTTTTCCCCCCAAACCATGTGAACAAAATAACAGAATTGAGTAACATCTAATCAGA